GCGTTAGTCTCCATTTATAAAACCATGTCATTGTGTTGTTTGTTAGTGTTTGGAGTCTTTCAGTCGCTTTTTCAGTAGTTTTGTCGTGTACAACAAGGGCCGTGTCGTCAGCGTATTGTAATATGTATGCCGTTCTGTCGATTTGATTTTTGTCTGGTAAGTTGTAATTGTATATCTCATGGCAGTATATACTGTAGAGAAAGGGTGAGAGCGGGGATCCTTGAGGGAGCCCTTGTTCAGGGGAAAAAGAAAAGGAGAGTGTATTGTCAATTCGAACTTGTAGTTGTCTGTTTTCTAGTAAGTTCTTTATGGTGTGTAGTAGATATGGTGGTGTGTGGAGTTTGTATAGTTTGTATAGTACAGATACACATAGATAGATAGAACATATATATTTGTGGCATAAGTTTGAAATATTTATTGAGAAATGTAGTACACATCATGAGGTTATGAATGGAATAAAACATCGAACAAATGACCGTCTCGGCTTTGTTGGCACAGACGTGCTCTTTTCATGAAATTTTTGAGGACTGTCGCGCATAAATTTTGCGGTATTTCAGAGATACAGCGTTGAATTTCATCTTTTAAAGCTTCATTAGTTGTTGGTTTGTTCGCATAAACTTGTGACTTTTAAAAAACGTAAAAAAAAAGCCCAAAGGCGTTAAATCACAAGATTTGGGCGGCCAATACCGATCTCTAAAACGAGAAATAACTCGACCAGGAAATGGAAATTCTCTGACTGTATGTTAAAACCACATGCTCTTGAGATCGATATTTTGCAAATTTTGCAATTTTGGCACAAAAAGTTAGTTAACATTTCACGATAAACACCACTCACGGTTAATGCTTGACGAACTGAATTTTCGAAGAAAAATGCTCCGATGCTTCTTCCAGCCCACAATGCACACCAAACAGTGACTCTTTTTGGATACATCTGTTTCTGAACGATCACTTGCGGATTTTCGGAACCCCAAATGCGACAATTTTGTGGATTAACGAAGCCATCAAGATGAAATAGGCCTCGTCACTAAAGATGATTTTCGCTTAAAAATCACCGTCCAATTGTCGTTGTTCCAAAATCCAAGCAAACAAGGCTCTTCGTTGCCCATGGCCTTCCGGCTTCAGCTCTTGAGCCAATTGAACTTTGAGCACATAAAGATCTTTTGGTAAAATTCGATGCATGGTGGTTGTGGAAATACCAATTTCCTGAGCTCTATGTCGATTTGATGTGGTTGGGCTATCCTCGATATTTACACGTACTGCTGCGATATTTTCAGTCGAGCGGCCAGGACGAACGCGTGTTTCTGTTTTCATTGGAACAGCAGTTTGAAGAGCGGCAATCATTTCGACATGGATTTGTTTATAACATGTTTATGAGTTGACTTGCTTGACATGCTTAAAACAAATAAAAACTACTGCATTTTACTTTCTAAGGAGAGCGCTGTAAAAATCTGTGATAACGCCAATGAACTTGTGTCTAGCCAGTTTTGTTCTCCACTTTTGAAAAAATATTTGGTCGGTTTTTCAACGAAACATTTCACTTTCAGGCAACACTCAGCAACTTCACGGATCCAATTTCAAGGTGGATTGCAACTATTGTAGCTGTTATGCTGGCGAGCAGGTTTGCAGTAAAAAACAATGTGAAAGTAGTTCTGTGGGAGGCAGAAACACCGCCTACACAACTCTGCCTTGCAATTGCCCACCGCATTATGTTCCAGTTTGTGGCAGGAATGGAATCACTTATCCTTCCGCCTGTTTGGCCAAGTAAGTCAACCATAGGTAGTAATAAATTCCAGGTAAATTAGGAAACTGTGGACTTTCTAGATGCTCAGGATTAAATGATGCTGATATAGAGTCGCTCCCTTGCAAGAATCCCTGCAAAAGCACTACATGTCCTGTTGGGCAGAAATGTGTCCCCTATTTCCAGACTTGCTTGTCTTTGATGCACAAACCGTGCAAGCAATTTGAATGTAGTAAGTGGCACAGTTTTTCAATAGTTTTCAATAGTTTACCTGCTATTTTTTGCGTGCTTCTAGTAAATGGATCCACCGAGTGTTCATCGTTACCAAAAGACCCAGTTTGCGATGCGAACAAGAAACAGTACGATAACGCCTGTTTGTTGGCTCATCACAATGCTAAGCTCGCCTACAGAGGCCCTTGCTTGAAAAGATGTAGGGAAAACGGTCAAGTAAGTTCACAATTTCTTCAATCTCAGACCTCAGATACTCAGCTAAGCGCCGTTTATTCCAGGTTTGTGGTATCAATGGAAGAACGTACACTTCTGAATGTGCAGCACACGCTGACATGATCTCGGTCGATTATAATGGTCCATGCTCTTCAATCGGCTTGATCACAAACACAAAATCCCGGCAATGTTCCAACGTAAAGTGCCACGAACTACCCGATGAGAGTTGCTTAGGTATCATTGTCCGAATTATCGTATTAAAATAAAGTGTTTAAATTCCCTATTTTATTCTTGCAGGCATCACGCCTCCAGGTGCATGTTGTCCGCTATGCGGCGGGTCTTTGCGGCTGTTGTACAGCAGGAAACAGATCGACAGAGCGCTGTATGCGCTTCAAAATAGAGGCACAGACTCTATAAATTTAAGGTCTCTATTGAAAGGCTTAGAGCGGCAAGTTCAAATTGCACAGTGCACTGTAAGAGGGTATGTCACAGTGGAGACCGATATTTTCGTAGTCATACAATCCAATGAAGGGTAAGCCCCAAAAAAAATATGAAGATAATTTTTTCTAATGTGAGAGAAATTAACGTGTGTAAGGCGCACAGTCTGCTTGTGATTATTTTTGAGGAATTTAATGCATGGGAAATTATAAAGTTTCATCTTCAGCTATTGTATTTTTAATCCACTTGGGTTTTTCCAAATGTATGTTTCAGTAAATTATTTTAAAATCAAAGCTAATACTAGAAGAGGTTAATTTTGTCTTTTCAACTCTTTCATTGGGTTAATAAAAAATATTTTAAACTCATTTTTCCGAATTAGACCAATTTAATAAAATGCAATGCAATTACCTTTAGTTATCGGCTGTATTTCTCTTAAATTAGAAAAAAACATAATCCTCTGCTTATTAAGGACAGAATATTTGTTAGACAATTCAAATCCAATTTTCCAATCGGTTTTGGCAAATTGATTGACTTTTTTTCAATTCGTTTTTATCGTATTTTCGATCGGAAACTCTGTTTAAAATTTAATTAATTGGAATTCCAATTGCATTCTTTGCAATCTTCTATTGACGATAAATGAAACTCAATCCAGATGCATGAAATTCAAAAAATGCATTTTAGTCGCATAATATTTTTTACGTTATAGTTCTGTGTAAAAAAATGGATTTAAACACTAGGAGATAAATCAAATTAATAATTTGAAATTGCTGTCTTTTTTATGTTCCTGGCAAGAAATAATAGTAAAATTACGTATAAATGCCTAATTTGACGATTCGTAGTCAAAGAAAACATTACATTTTAGATTGTAGCGCAATAGAAAGACTTTGCAGAACCTGCAGCTTCATTCTATTCAAAAGATGAACGAACAGAAGCTTCAGCGTAGAAATAATTAAAATTATGTCCAACTTTCCAGCAGCTCAAATTATTAAAAACAACACAAACCAAAAAGAGAAAAAGAAACAAATTGGAGCGGAAGAAAGTAAAACTGGAGTATTTGCGAACAATCGGCGATTCTTTCAGTGGCTTCAATCGCAAGCCAAAACATAAAATTGTTATGTTATCAAGAACAAGTTTGGAAACACTCCAGATTTTTCCTAAATCCTTCCGCAAATTTTCATTAAAAAATGCTCATACCATTTTTTATTATTTTTCAGTTATCCTTCATCTTTGCAACTGGAGGCCTGCATTAGGGAAGCAGAGAAAATCGCTGGTTTGGTGAACATGAAAAGTCCCCGGATCGTTAGTGAAGTCAGCCTGAGTTCTTTAACATTAGCTACGGTAGTTCACACCCATATTGCCACTAGTAGCACTCACATTTATATTCCAAACTTAATGTTGACGATTCTGGCGGCCACATTTCAATACATTTGGTTTTTGCGATAATTTTCGTACAAATCACCGAAGACAACGTTCGGAACAGAATTGAAAAACTGCTTCAGATAACTAGGAATTGCGAAAGATGAATTCGGATTTTACAAAAAAAAGTTTGAGACTCCGGCATCATTTCCAAAAAAATTGAAATAAAGTTTATTAAGCTTTGACCTGTGATATTTTAATTTCTAATGGCAAATAGGACGTATACAAACATGTAGTTAAGGTTTTGTAACATATAGCGCTACACTTTGTTTATAAATGTACATTTATTTATGTTGTATATTTCTTTTTTGATAAGTAAATACATATTGTTTCAGTTCATTACAAAATAGATCATAGTTAAGAACCTAATTTACCACAAGTAAATCTACTGCAGACTCGCACTCTTTCGCGATTTTGATTACTGTATTATTTTCATATTGTTTAACAAAACAGTTCTAACCAAAGACTTTTGCTCTCTAATGTCACTAAAATATGGTTCTATTGTAACTATGACTTTAGTTTTAAGATTTAAATAGTTTTTTTACAATAACATCTTAAAGATTCAAAGAACGAAGTAGTTCTATGTTGAGTGTCGTATTGTTACCGAAATATATTTTTATTACATTCCCGGCATTTTAAATTAATACAGCAAAAAAATGCAAATCAGATCAAAGCTGTATATTTTTGTGCAAGTATCATTTAAGCCTTAGAATGGAAACATCTGCATGGCTTGTTCTTTGATTTTTGCAGTTTCTTCATATCCAAAGAAATCGTGGACTTGCATGGATTGGTTTGCTGTTCATGTTTGTCCCCTGTTATATTCATTTCTTTCATATATTTCTGAAAAAGTTCCGTGGTTTATTGTCTAATGAATTTTGTTTCAATTTTCACTTACAACAATGACTCGTTCAATGGGAATGGTGGTGCGTCCCTTTTTCTTCGCTAGTTGCAACACCTCTTCAGCGTATTCAAAGAATTTTGAATCTTCCTCTTCAACGCACGGTTTTTGTAACGCGTTGTCTAATTCTTTCTCTCTTTGCTGCTCCAATCTTTCATCTTCCTGGATATTGAAATGGAGTGAAAAAGGTTGTCGTAAATTTACATGTCTATCAAGGTTATTTTACCATTTGCTCACATAATTCCTTCCGGTACTTAATTACTTTCTTCCACATTTCCTCTTTCTTGGCCTGTTCATACTTTTTTACATTTTCGTCTACCTTGTAGCGGTTTAGTAATTCCCACTTTTTAATTTCGTCTTGCCTTCTCGTTTTTTCTTCTTCAACCCGCAGGACTTCCGCTCTGTTTTGTAACCTCTCCTGCTTCATTTTGGCTTGAAACTCTTTTTTCGATTGCATTTTTTCAAGTTCTCTAGAAACATCGAATTCATTCAAGATATGCCACTTATGCGACTACCTACGCAGCTTCCTTCTCAGCCATGGCTTTTTTGATAATTTTTTCTTCGGCTTCAGATTTATCCATTTGCTCAGCCATTACCATCGCAGCAATTTTCTCTTGTTTTTTCAGAACAGCATCCCTCATCTGGAAAAAAGTTATTTGAGTCTTAAACGACAATTGGTGTAAAACGAAAGCAGACCAACCTCTTGAACACGTTCCTGCTTCATGCAGTCGATCCTATGTTTTGCTTCCTTGTATATTTCTATGACTTCGTCAAGTTCTTTTTCTTCTTTAATTTTTTGCTGCTTGATTTCGCGATCTTTTTGCAAGTATTTCTTTTTGTCCTCGAACAATTCCTTTTTTCGCCTTATCTTCTAAAGTTTGCAACGCTGAATGAGTTGAGAATCTTTGGTTAGCACCAAGATACTTACTTCGTCAGTTTGCAATTTTTCAAGTTTTTCCATTTCCTTCACTGCTTCGATGTTATCAAGGGCTTCTTTCTTCGCTCTTTCCACTCGCATTGCTTTCTCGTGTTTTGCCTTTTCTTCAATACTGAAAAGTAAAATGGGAAGATTGACGTAGGGGAGTCATTCCGGCTCTTACTTTTGCTTTAGTTTTTCACTGTGTTCCATTTGTTTTTCGAATCTTTTCTTTGCTTTTTCAGCCTCAGCCACCATTTCTTCCTCCGCTTTTTGCTGTTGGATTTCCAGATATTTCTGATTTTCATCTTTTTCATGTTGCTTTAATTTCTCCATAAACTCCTGTTGCTTTTGTCTTTCGAACAGTATTTCCGATGTTACCAGGGCGCTAGTCAAATCTCTGCAAAACGATCTTGAGAGGATTTTTTCAGATGTTTTTTTAGATAGCGGGAGGACCTGGCGTGCCCTGTTGTCATAAATATTTGCTTCTTCACTTTTTCCATGTACTTTTCCCGGATTTCCTCCTGCTCTTTCCTCAGCTCTAGAAACCGCAGCTGTCGCTCTTCCTTCTTTTTCTCCAGTAGTTGCACACGTTCTTCCTCCTTCCGTTTGCGCACGTTCTAAGAAGCACTTTTAAGCAGCGCAAAAATGAGTTCTACTCAATTTACCTCCAGGGAGTTTTCCCATTCTTTTGTCATATTTTTCGAGCCTTCATCCAGATATCTTTTAATGGCGGCTTCTTTATCGGCAGCTTCTTGCAGAATCTTTTTCCGGTCCAAGTGTTTGGTTATACCGTCCCAGCCAGTTTTCGTAATGTGAAGCGCATGTTGTCTGTCGGAGATTTTTGTGTTTTCCAATGTTTGACCTGCAGAAGCAGAAGCAAATTATCGGAGAGCGAACTTAATAATAATATAAATTTGGCTCTCACCTGGAAACAAGAACCATCTGGAATCCATTCGCGAAGAGAAACTTGAAGTCAACTAAAATCTTTATGAGTTTGAGTGTTTTTGCGAACCGTAGGGGCTTCAGCACAACTTTACGACTGCTGTCGCTGTGTTGATTACCGTTGCCAACAAACTTACAACCAAGCATATCGATTTAGCTGATTGTTTGCCGTCCGTAGCAACTGAAATAGTTCAGCTTCATGCCGAATTGGCTTTAATGTCCACCGATAGATTGTTCGTTTACTCTATAAAAACATATTTTTCGCAATTTTATTTAGGTTGAAACCATTGAGCCATATTTCTCAATTCAGTCTTAAAAACTGAAAATTATGATCTGGAAAGCACAGAAAAATCCAAGTTCCGGAAGTAGCAAAACAAATGAAACTTAACTGAAAAGTATTCTTTAATTAATCTACTGTTTAGCACCATCTTCTGCTAGTAAATGTTTTTTTTTTGTTGAGTTCTCATCGACTTTTTGTTTACTTCGTCTAGATCCGTTATCCCCACGTCTTTGTTGCATATTAGTTTTGCTGCACTTAACAATAATTAGTATAAAAATTGAAGTAATGAGTTCAGCAGACAAAATTCATCTTTAATTTTTCCGAGTGTTTAGCGTTTTTGGGACTAACTCTGGAGAAGCATTAAAAAAGCCAATTGCAGAAGTTAAGCTTCTCTTTCATGTATTGATTAATTTTGAATTAACAATTTAATATCGTAAGTCAATCCGTTTTTTTAAACTTTCATTGACAGTTTTCCTAACATGTTTATCAGCGATATAAAATTACGCATATAAAATACAGTATAAAATTACATTTGTCTGGAATACCTGGATGACATTTTGCTTCCTAGCCCCCACCCCAAAGGTTTTCTCGCCGCGTGGGTGGTTGTTTGGGAAAATCTCAGTTTGCCGGGAAAGTTTCTCAGAGTGTCACGTTTTCCGGGCGACAAATTGTGTTCTTCGGATCCGAGGCTTTTGAACCGCGAAACTTCGTTTTAACTTTTTCTAGGCTTGTGTGATCTTCCAGATAGCATTGGTAAGTCGTTGTGAAAAATTGATTTCTAACTAGCTCTGAACTGTGAAGTTTCCGAAGGGAAACAAAGAGTGATATTTGCGTAGATGCTAAATATTTGGTTGATGTCTGGCAATTAAGATGCGGTGGCTTGTTTGCAGCCAACTAATTAAGCAATATCGGTTCTATTTGACTTCAAATAGCTCTGTTAGCTTCATAAAAGTGGAACGATCATACTTTTTCAATAAGATGAATTGTGTAATATTCATTTACATTTTCCATAGGTACTTTGCTTAAACTAAAACATCGTTTGATGCAGAGTCATTAGTGTGTTTGGAAGGCATTTTTATATACATTCACACATACAAAAAAAATGGTCTATAAAAATGCGTTATAAGTATTCTTCAGTACAAGCGTCTCTTCCCCATGGAATTCAGAATATTTTCCATATTTGCTCAGACGTTTCAAGGAACGCAAACGTCTTCAGGCATTATCATCTTTGTTCCATTTGTATTAGGTACTTTGCATGGAAAACTAAAAAAAAAAAACCAAACCCTGGAAATATGAGTGAAAATGCGACAATACAAATATTTCAGTTTAGTGTAAAATTAAAAATTGGGTTTTAATTTTAATAATTCCTACTTTTTTTTGATCATTACCACCACAGATATGTGTCTATTCGAATATTGCGCATTGACTAACATTTTACTAATTTTCGTGATTTAAATGTATTGTTTCACTGGTTTTAAGGGTGAGTATTTGAGTTGCTAGACACAAAAAAATTGCATTATGCTTCAGATTTGAATTAATAATTCTGCAATGAATAATGCAACTCCAAAATGTTAATGAGATGGTTGTTGTGCTCTCGGTTTAGCGGATCGTAACTTACAAAGTCTGCAAGTTTGTTTGTCGCTTTGTACGTGGGCTCCAACTGAACAAGCGGTTTAGCAAAAATGATGAGAAATTCACAGTTCTTATCAGAAATTCAAGAGTTTAGGGCAAATGACTCTGTGAACTGCAGATAGTATATATAAGGTAAATTGTGATAGTGGAATATTTACGGAAGCGAATTCTATGCTGGTTTAAATTAGGCACTCCGTGATAAATTGGAAATTGTTAGCATTTAGCTTTCAAGTTTCTCAGACAACACGAAAATAAGAAAAGGGCACAGTCTTTTTTATTTTAGATTACCTGTCTCCCCGGAGCGTTGAAATTCGCTTTGGACATGCCACTTATTCAATTTTTTGTTCGGATCTTCCCGGTTTTGGAATAAGGGCTGTTTTTCACTCCCCAACTTGCCAAATCAATATCAAATGAACAAAGGAGGAAAACTTTTAAGGTTTTCTATAAACTTAGTTTATTATTATCCGGCTTATTACCTATTTAGGAGTGTTTTATCCCTATTTAACTAAGCAGCAATTAATGAATTACTTAACAGGACTGAATCGTAAACAGTTGAAACCCGATTTTTATGGCGAGGTTTAATTGAATTTATTTATGAATTTTGGTTGCTGATTTCACTTTTATGCATCTACTTCATTTGAGTGTAAGTGTAAAGTCTAGGACTAATAACATAAACAATGTATTATTTTCCTCAAGGAATTGCGGCTTACGAACATTTAAATAGAGTGGCAATAAAACGGAAGTAGCAAGTTTTCGGCAAAATTTGTTTAAAAGTGGACTGATACTTCAGCTTACAATTTCCTCCCAATTCCTTCCTTCGTCCTTTGGACAGTATTGTCTTAGGCAAATTGTCGAATGATTAATAAAAATATATACTGAGAAAATTAATGCAATTTGTTACAGCAGCAGACTGAAATCTAATTATTTTACAAATATTGGATAGGTCGCATATCGATTGATTTAAAATCGATTGAATACGACAAAATACCGAATAAACTGGAAAATAATTGTGAAGCTACTAACACGCAAGCTTTCATGCACTTGGAAATAAACATTGCGTGCTTAAAGCTTACATGAATCGGTTATTTCAATTAATATAAAAATGTCTGTGGGCGATTTGAAGTGCTGAAAGCTTTTTTTGGTTTGGATTCGTTTATTTCAATTACTATTATTTGAGTTGACTAACTGGAAAAAATATTTCGTTAACAAATTCCAAACAATCCTTTGTGATTTTTGGTGCTCATGAAACTGACTAAATATTTTTGCCATTCTCCAATGGTATTTCAGACAAAACTACACTTTTACATCCTGCAAAAATACCAAAAGAGTATCGCTGGAACGAACATTCTGAAATAACATCTAGCTAATTAAATTACCTGCCACTGTGATCGAATTTTATTCAAAGGTCAAGTCCGAAAGTATTCTGAATTGAATAATAAAAATAATATTCTCAAAATACCCTTCCATTACTTATTAAATCCATAGGCGCCATTAGGAAGAGGTAAAATGAGCTAAAATCAGGAAAATTCTTGTATGGACAGAGCAGAAAAATGAACCAAAATATTGCAAAACCTTCAAATTATACCGTATATTTATTTAGGTGGCCTTAGTTCTATAAATCCCAATTTGCATCGGAAATGTCTTTACTCACAAAAATAGAAAAGTTTACTTTTGTTCTATTACGATGCAAATGCGTAAAGGCTGATTTATCGTCATCAATTCAAAGGCTTTAATTAAATCTTCAAGTTTCCAAAATAATACTTTTTGCTGCTTTTTCTTAATTATCAGCCAGACACGCGCGGAAATTCCCTGTCTGCAGATTTTTGACAGTTTGCTAAATTTTGCCTCTTTCTCAACATCAGATAGTAAAACATTGGTTGAACATGCTTCCGCCCCCTGCTGAAGTTTGCTTTTTGCAATTTCCAATTAACCTTAATATATTACATAAAAAAATGCGCAGCTTCACATGAAACATTTTACGTTGAATGTCTGGAAATTAAATCATTCTCCTTTCGTTTCAGTGAAATTATTAATTTCGCACTTAAAGGGCTTTTTCCACTCCATTTGAGCTACAAGACATTACTTTGTTCATAAGAAAAACGCCCTTTCGCTGAAATAGTGTAAAGGTCATATTAGGTGTAATATTGCATTCCATAATTCATACCTCAATGGTTTATGGCGTCATAACAGTTTTTATGATGCCAGAAGGGATTAAACGAAATAAATAATTTAATCGCTCTACAAACACCGTCTGAGTGCTATTAAACTGGCAAATGCGTTTCCAAGGGCTACAGAGAAATGGAACGGACAATATTAGCGGCAGTTAATCACATTATGGAAGAGCAAATCTGGATATTCTATGGGAGCTGGATTAAGCCTAACATCCAAAAGCTAACCAGATATAATTATTCCTGTTTATCAACACATTTGGGAACTCCATTTGCTAATACACTTAAAACTTAGTGTTGATATAATAGTAAAATGTGCCTTTAAAAGGTTTTACTGCTACATGGGGAGTTTAGAGACTTTTCCGTACTTTACCAGTTATTTCGACAAATATATACCAACGCTCATAAACTATTACTGAGCAGTTATACTTCAATAATTAGTCTAAATCTATGAAGCTTTCAAGCAAGTTTTAATAAATAATAATAATAATAAATAAAACTCCACTATTTTAGAAGAAAAATCGACACTTGAAACGGATTACTCAGCAGCTCAGAAAAGTTTAGAACACTTTAAACGCCAGTCCGATCCATTCTGCTATTGGATAATCTTGACTTGAAACATGAATGTTTGTTCAAGTGTTCCGGATAATACCTGGTTTAAACCCTTAAAAATATTTCAAAATAACTTCAGTTTTCTAAATGAACAGTTGATCAATAATTATAACTGGCAATCTAAACAGTTGTTAAGCGAAAACCATCTAAAATTAAATTTTGATAAACAAATATTTGAACTGTAAAATGCTGTGTTTTTAATGAAAATGAAGAAAAAACTATGAGAAATAGAATATTTGAGTTATTTGCTTTTGGTATATTGATACGGATAAATTAGTGTTGATTAGTTTGGGGTTTTAGAATGGCGCAATGGAAATCGATACTGTGGTCAGCCTGAGGTTGATATTATTTATTTAAACATTTTATGTCAAGTAGAACGTTGCATTTTATTTATTTGCCTCTGATAAGAAACGAGTTTCTACTTGGAATATTTCACATAGTCATTGGTCGATTTTTATTTCAATCCAACAATTCCATGAAAACGATTCTTTTAGATTTCTAAATGGCATCGGCGCTATTTGGCAATTTTATTTATTCATCTGTAGAAAACTCGTCTTATTTTACCAGAACTCAGTCCGAATGCTGCTTAAATTCTAATTGAATAATTTTCCACGTCTATGCTGCATTAGGCGAAAAAATCACGCTGCTTAATTCAATAATACGCTTTACACTGCATTAAAAACCATGATAAGCGATGTCTACATTTGCAGATGGAGACAAATTTGCTAATAAATATTTTCACGAGTTTACGTTAATTTCATGCATAGTTATTTATTAGTCAATGTAACCGAAAATATGTCAATACTGTATATAGAAAAACCAATGCAACGTACAATCAACGACCGCGTAAATGATTTTATTGTTTAAAAATTTGTGGAATTAAAAGCCCCTTTAAAACATATTTAGTGTTTCATACAACATTTTAACCGCATCTCAATCTATTACTTTCCAGTTTAAACTATAAAGTAACATCTAAAGAACACTCGCGGCCTTTGCTTGAACTAGCGATTTTTTCGCGCTGTTAGTTTGACTCGCCTCTGAAGATGCCGATGATGAAGATGAAGATGTTTGTCTGACGCATCAACATTGCATTAGTTTAGTGTACTTGTGTTCAAACTACTCAAAAATTAAATCTGCATTAAAATAAATCTGCAAAGAGATTGGCCGGCAGCCTTTTGCGTTTTTCTCCGAACACTGATTTTCCTTGTAGAGTAATCTTTTGAGACCCTAAAAGACTTTGTAGGAGCAATAAAAAAGTTCCATTTATCCCACTTGGGCGAGCAATCAAAGTTTCATGAAAACAAATCTGAAAGGAGAGGCTGGATGTTTAACATAGGATCG